CAGCTACTACCTTTGTGGCAGTTCTTGGCAGATTATTTTAATGGCAGTGGCTTTGAACTTTCAGGAGGAGGGAATGAAAAGGTAAATTTGTGTTTCAATGTTAACTCCTTTTCTGGAGAGGCTGGAGGGCTCAGAGGATTTTTACTGAGCTATGGAACCTTTGAAATCCAGGTTCCATGTTCAAATCTACAGTAGGTGGATAGTGACTAAGAACAGTTACCATCTGTTACAGCTGTTCATCAGCAGCCTATATGAAATGAATGTGGTTGTTCTGGTTCTTTTCCTAGTGAACTGGGGTCTTTTATCACAAAAACATCTGGCTAACTGGCAATTTGTTTACAGGCTAAGCAGAGAGATCAAGGATAGAATAGGCCAGAGAGACCTAATGCCATTCAATCCTGATTGTTGCTCCTTCCAAGTCAGAGTAGAGGCACGTTGGCAGCAGGCAGTATGTAGAAGCTGCCAATACTCCAACTTGTGCCATATCAGGTTGGGAGGCAAGTCTCCAGAGCTATCAGTTCTCCACATTTCACCATCACTAAAAACACTAATTTAAAAATATCTGTCCTGTTCAACATTATTAATTTATCCGTATGAGTGAACAAGCATCTGGGAGCAAGCAGCTAAATTCAATAAAAAGCAATTTTGGGAGCCTCATAAAAATGACCATACTGGGTCAGATAAAAGGTCTGTCTAATCCTGTATCCTGTTTTCCAATAGTGGTCAATGGTAGATGCTCCAGAGGGAATGAACAGAACAGGGAATCATCAAGCGATCCATCCCCTGGTTCCCATTCCCAGCTTCTGACAGAGGCTATGGGATACCATCCGTGCCCATTTTTGCAAATAGCCATCAATGGGCCTGTTCTCCAGGAACTTACCTAATTCTTTTTTGAACACAGTACACTCTTACAGTCTTTGCCTTCCTCTGGCAAGGAGTTCCACAGGCTGACTATGCATTCAGTGAAAAAATATTTCCTTTCATTACTTTTAAACTTTCTGCTTATTAATTTTATTTGGTAACCCCTATTTCATGAGTTACGAGAAGGAGTAAATAAGACTTCTTTATTTACATTCTCCACACCAGTCATGATTTTATAGATCTCTACCATATCCCCCCTTGGTCATCTCTTTTTCCAAGCTGATAAGTCCCAGTCTTTTTAATCTCTCCTCATATGGAAGCCTACCATACCCCTAATCATTTTTGTTGACCTTTTCTGGAGCTTTTCCAGTTCCTATTCAGGCAGTCCCCGGGTTACGTACAAGATAGGGACTGTAGGTTTGTTCTTAAGTTGAATTTGTATGTAAGTCAGAACTGGTACATATTGTAGGGGAAACTCTAGCCTAACATTTCTCCAGAGCTCAGTTTTATTCTCCCACACCTCACTTCCCTCAGTCCTTTATTCTCAAGCTGAGGTGTCTGCTGAGAAAAGCCGCTCCGCGTTTCCCTGGTCTGCTGGGTGGGGCGCTAGCTTCGCGTCTCCCTGGTCTGCTGGGGGTAAGCAGCTAGTGCGGGGTTGCCTCACCCCGTTTGTAAGTAGGGATCTGATGTAAGTCGGATCCATGTAACCCGGGGACTGCCTGTATATCTTTTTGTGAGATGGGGTAACCACATCTGCAGACAGCATTCAAGATCTGGGTTTTCTATGGATTTATATAGGGACAATATGATATTTTTTTTCTGGGTATGTCTACACTACCCCGCTGGTTCGAACTAGCGGGGGTAATGTAGTCATCCGCAATTGCAAATGAAGCCCGGGATTTGAATTTCCCGGGCTTCATTTGCATGAAGCCGGCCTGTGCCATTTTTAAATGCCGGCTAGTTCGAACCCCGTGCCGCAGGGCTACACGCGGCACAGACTAGCTAGTTTGGATTAGGCTTCCTAATCGGAATGAGGAGTACAGCTAGTTCGGATTAGAAGCCTAATCCGAACTAGCTACTCCGTGCCGCGTGTAGCCGCGCGGCACGGGGTTCGAACTAGCCGGCATTTAAAAATGGCGCCGGCCGGCTTCATGCAAATGAAGCCCGGGAAATTCAAATCCCGGGCTTCATTTGCAATTGCGGATGACTACATTACCCCCGCTAGTTCGAACTAGCGGGGTAGTGTAGACATACCGTCTCTTATTATCTTTATATCCCTTTATTAATGATTCCCAGCATTCTGTTCACTTTTGTCTGCCACTATACATTTAGTGGATGTTTTGAGGGAACTATCCACAATGACTCCAAGATCCCATTCTTGAGTGGTAACAGCTAATTTAGACCCCATCATTTTATATGTGTAGTTAGAATTATGTTTTCCAATGTGCTAAATTTATCAGCATTGAATTTTATTGCCCAGTCACATAGTTTTGTGAGAGCCTTTTGTAACTCTTTTCAGTCTGCTTGGGAGTCATTTTGTATCATCTGCAAATGTTGCTACCTCACTCCCTTTTCCAGATCTTTTATTATTATGTGGAATAAGACTGGTTCCAGTAGAGAAAAATGACCATTTATTCCTATTCTCTGTTTCCTATCTTTTAACCAGTTATTAGTCCATGAGAGGACTGTCCTTCTTATCCCATGACATCTTATTTTGCTTCAGAGCCTTTGGTGAGGGACCTGATCAAAGACTTTCTGAAAATCTAAGTACACTGGATCCTCCTTGTCCACGTGCTTGGTGATCCCCTCCAAGAATATTTGTAGATTGGCGAGGCATGATTTCCCTTTACAAAACCCTTGTTGACTCTTCCCTAACAAATTATGTTCATCTATGTGTCTGATAGTTATGTTATTTACTATAGTTTCAACTACTTTGTCAGATACTTAAGTTAGGCTTACTGGCTGGCAGTTTCTAGGATATTCTATGGAGCCCTTTTTAAAAATTGGTGTTGCATTAATTATCTTGTATCCGGTACAGAAGCTGATTTAAATGATAGGTTCCAGACGACAGTCGGTAGTTCTGCAATTTCACATTTGAGTTCCTTCAGAACTCTTGGGCAAATACTGTCTGGTCCTGGTGACATTATTGTTTAGTTTTTCAGTTTGTCCCATAACCTCCTCTAATGACATCTCAATCTACAACAGTTCTTAAGATTTGTCAACTAAAAAGAATGACTCAGGTTTGAGAATCTTCCTCACATCTTCAGCCCTGAAGATTAATGCAGAGAATTCTCAGCAATGACCTTACCACCTCTGGGTATGTCTACACTACAGAGTTTTGTCAGAAAAATGGCTGTTTTTCTGACAAAACTTGAGGAACATCCACACTGCACTTGCATTCTTCCGCAAGAAAATTGAAAGAACAGAGGGGTTTTTCCAGCATTGGTAATCCTCGGTCTACAAGGAAGAAGCCTTTTTGTGAAAGAGCTCTTTGGCAAAAAGGCATGTGTAGATGGGGAAGAGGGAGTTCTTTTGGAAGAAGAGGAAAGAGGAAAAAGCGCAGGTGCCCTGGTGGCCATTTGTCCATAGCAATCATACCTTACATGCAAGAGAGTGTCCATTCGGTCTGGATACTCTTGGAAAAGCAGATTGCTTTTTCAGTGCACTTTTGCAGTGTGGACACTCTCTTTTGGAAGACGTTTTTTCGGAAGATCTCTTCCAAAAAAAGCTTCTTCCGAAAGAAGCTTGTAGTTTAGACGTGGCCTTTGAGTGCTCCTTGAGCATCTTCATGGTCTAGTGGCCCCATTAGTTGTTTAGTAGGCTTCCTGCTTCTGGTGTGTTTAAAAACAATTGCTATTACTTTTTGACTCTGGCTAGCTGTTCTTGAAATTCTTTTTTGGCCTTCCTAATTATATTTTTATACTTGGTTTGCCAGATTTTTATGATCCTTTGTTTTCCTCACTAGGATTTAACTTCCACTTTTTGAAGGATGCCTTTAACAGGCCTCACTAATCATGCTTTCAATGTGACCTGTATATCCTAGATCCTTGTCAGTTACAGTCACTGAAGCAGCAAATCAATATCTCAAGGTCAATTTGTCACTCCTTTATCCCTTTGCTTTTATAGTTCCCAGTATGAGACATTAAAGAAATTACATTGACTCTTCTCTCAGCGAGCTAGAGATTTTTGGTACAAAGAAGTATATTTTATAGCACAAGGCAAGATTTTCAAAAGTCACTTGTGATTTTTGGGTGCCCAACGTGGGACACCTTTAAAAAAAAATCTAATTTTCAGAAAGTAGTGAGCATCCATGCCCTGAAAAACAAGCCTTTTAAAAGTGTTTCTAGATGGAGCCCTAAAGTCACTTTTGAAAATATTGGCCCAAGAGTGTACTGTCCTAGGAAGAGACATATGCCTAGTGATTAGATGAAGGGACTGGAAGTTTGGAGTACTAGTTTCTTTTCCCATCTTTGCCCCTGCTGGCATGTATAACCTTGGGCAAATCACTTAAACTCTCTAATTTTGACGCATGTGTACAATATAGTTAATATTTCTCAAGAGCTTTTGAAGGTTTAATTAATTACTCTCTGCAAAACACATTGATATCTGTGGGAGTTAGGTGCCTAAATTTCTTTTAGGATCCGGGCCCTTGAAAATTGTGGATAAAAGTTATTTTTGCAAGGAAAGGTAAAAGCAACAGCAGCAGCCACGGTGTGCACATCTATTTAAACATGTCCAAGCCCCCCAACAGGGGCTAAGAGGTCAAAGGGGGCAACTGCCCTCGGGCCTGGCAATTCAGAGTGGCCCGGGGCTCCCAGCCACCACCACTTTGCTACTGTGGCCCTTTAAATCACTGCTGGAGCGCTACGCAGTGTGCTCTGGGCAGTTCTGAGAGCTGCCCAGGGGACCTATGGCCTGGAACAATCCAGGCAGTCCTGAGGGCTAGCTGCTCCAGCCCTACCCCTTTCCTCCTGAGGCGCCACCTCTTTTGGAAGTATGGAGTCCTCTTCACCTCCCCCCCACTCCTGCCCACATTCCCCAGGGTCCTAGCAAGGCTGTCAGCCCCCTCCCCCGAACATGCCTTCTGCTTAGAAACAAAGCCAACGATTGTCCGTCTAATAACAGAATGTCTTTCCCAGGTATCAAGTAAGCATCTCTTCTGACTTGGAGTGGCGACATGACAAATACCATGATATAGAGGAGGTGCAACGAGACCCACGAGCAGGCTCCGACTCCATTGCTGAAGAAGCACAAGTTGATCCACGCAAATATTCTCAAAGCAGCTCAGAGAGGTTCTTGGAGCAATCACATTCTTCGATGGACCGCACGTTTGATACTGATTATGGGAAATCATGTGATTACAAAGTGGGGTCACCTTCCTACTTGGACAAACTGCTGTGGAAAGACAACAAGCCCCATCACTACTCAGAGCCCAAACTCATCTTAGACTTGTCACACTGGAAAACAGCGACTATAGCACCCGCTACAGAGTTGTCACTGGAAGAAGAACCATCAAACCTCTTTCTAGAGATAGCTCAGTGGGTAAAGAGCACACAGGCAGGGCTTGAATGCCCTAGTCCTCTTCCAGAGCTTCAAGAACAAAGTCTGACATCTTCTCCTCACCATCATCATAAAGAATCCAACGATGTAACCAGTGAAACAGACCCTCAGTTTGACTTGGATGTTTTCATCTCTAGGGCACTGAAACTTTGCACAAAACCAGAGGATCTCCCAGACAGTAAGCTTAGTGATATCAATGGGGCTTGTATTTCAGAGCACCCCAAAGAGATTGTACAGACAGAGGTGTTTCAAAAAGAGAGGTGGTAAAGAAACAATGTCTGATATTCATTGCTCATCTCTTTGTAAGTCTTTGATAATGCATCAATTACCGGATGGTGAACAGTAATTAAGGTTTGACCTGTCATGAACATGTCAGTTTCTTACAGTATAATGAATGCCTTTTTGTTGAAAGGCAAGCACAATTCAAAAAGAACCCCTTTTGATGCCTTAGAAATACACTTAAAGGAGTCAAGAGGTGTGAATGAAATATTGAGTTTCTTATGCTGCCTTACCAATCTTGCCTTGTAACCTCTGGTACCTATATGGTACTTCAATGTACAATGGAGAGATAACTGTACAAGTTTACAAACAGAAGTTGAATCAACTTCCTTTTTTATAAATGGTATCTTAAAGGAATAAGGATGAAGGGGAATCCCTTCATTATGGTGAAGACATTCCCCTGGTTTGACAGGTTCAAAACATGTTGACCCAGAGGGCTTCTTTGAACTCATCTGAGTATTGTCTGTACAAAGAGGAGTCATGTAAGGGTATCTTTTTCAAGTAAATAGTCCTATATACACCTTTGACCAAATTCTGCCTTAAATCAGGAAAGAGGGGTTGGAAGAAAAGTAACTAAGGACAGAATTTGGCCATCAGGGCAGAAAATAGGGATGT